GTCTATAATAAATCTTATCAAAATATTTTATTTGGAATTGAAAAGATTATTGTATATCAAAAGGGATTTTGGGAAAAAAACCGGGAATAAACGAACAACTTGTGCTACATTCTTGTCGCTTTGCAAAAAAGTTTGTTTTGTTGCATTGTATGCGTAGATTATTAACTACTCCAAGGAATCTTACGTCTGTATAACTACCCCAAGGTCGCGTTCTATTTCTCAATATCGCTATTAAAGCGTATCTCTTAATTCTATCTCTATACGTGTACAGTGGCCACGTCAGCCCATATTATGTCGCAAAATTAAGGGGATTGCCTTGACGTGCTGCGGCTGTTAATAAATGGAGACGATTTAGTTCATTCGGGATGCCGTTTGGTAGCATGCGATGCGGTCACTCAACCGGCTCTAAAGCCCGTTACGTCAGCGGCCGCATGCCACAATTAGATCACATGCGAGACTTGCAATGGCTAGGCTAGACACCAATCGATAGATATGTTTTAGTACCGTTAAAACTGGCTTTTTACATGGACTACTATGGCATTCCAATGATTTTCCTAGACATTACGTGAACATTACACTTGCATAATGTGTACTTAGTAGTCACATCTTGATAGCTATAATCAAACACACCGTACGTGTTCCGAATGATGAACCTAGTTGTGTTTTTCACAGTTATCTTGTTCCATTGACAAAGAATGGGCATCGTTACAAATATATATAATTTCAATAACACGAAAGCGAACCAAACACTCCCATAGGATTATACTGGGCCACGTCCTGTTTAGATTTTATTTGTTTAACAATTTCTGATTGAAATTAATTTAGACTGACCTCAAAGATACTACAAGCAATCAGTTATACTTTACTTGTTATTGTGTACGTAAATAAATAAGGTGTAATAAAAAACCCGTCTATGAAACGAAAAACCATTATAAAAGGAAATCTTTTATCCTAAATTAATTTTAATTTTATTTCTGGTCTTTAAATTTTTCTATATTTAATTTGCAACTTTGAGTAGATAAGCCAGATCTAGGCTATTGTTACTCAAATACAATTACTACACCACACCACAACAGTGACAGTAAGACTGGAAGAAGGTTGCTGCTAAACGACTTATCCATGGTCCTAAATGAGAGCGCAAGATTTTGATTGTCTACTGTTTAAAAGGTGATCAAGGTCGACCGGGGTTCTCAAGGACTTCATTTCTATATCTGAGTCTCTTACAATACATGTGATAGAAAATCATGTGGCTTTAGTCAGTGCTATCCTACTGCTAGCCCTGCCGAGATATGTTGATTTTAAGACGATAAACATTATACCGATTAATATTGATTATGTAATATCCGTTGGGTCGGGTAAATCTTTCTATTCAATATAGGACGGGGTCCTAAAGTAAAACACAAAAAACATACCTATATAAACGTAGAAATGAGAAAATAAACATTATTAAAGTTGTTTACTATCGGTGCGTAAAAATCGCGAATAGTAATAATATAATAATAAAATGTTTTGCTCAAAATGTTATGTAAAATGTTCAATATAAACTTTCCTATTTAAACAACATTTTTAAAATTCTCAGGGCTCATATGAAATACTGTAGCTAACCAGGTGACCACACGCATATAATAGACATGTAACAAAGTAGTCCTCTGTGAAATACAGTATGGTCGCAAGTCGATTTGTATTGATTAAGAATTTTCCTTGTTTTCTTTCGTGAATCGTATCAAACGAAAACAAAACGAAGGAACAAACGAAAGCAAACCAATAAAATAAACAATAAAACTAACCAAGCAATAAAATCATTTCAATTGAGAGTTCTACGTAGAAGGCAGGATATTGAACTTCAAACAAGAGCAGACTATTACGTAGGTACGATTTACAAAAGCCATACTAAGCACGCAACAGGTATGAATATTTTAAAAAGTATTATATAAATTAAAATCAAGAAATATAATGTGTGACACTCAGCTGATAGGCAAGAAGGTAAAGGTAAGGTTCTCTGGTTTTGTATTTAAAATTAAACCACGGGAACTGTTATTGTTTAAGAATTTTCAATTGAATTACATTAGTGGTTTCGTACTCCCAAGTGAGTTGTCTCATGTATTTATTAACCAAACGTTATATTTGAAAAGATTAGGTATTGATGTAGGTTACCTACCGATGAATGTAAACTATTTAACACTATTTAAGTAATACCTAAAACAAGTTCAGGAATAATTTAAATGGTCTTCTTTCGAATGACTAAGTATAATGTTAACCAGATTTTTTTTTAATGCAATTTAAGTTTTCCTACAAACAAGTTAGTTTACATTCTCTTTGGTAAGTCTAAATCTCGCAATGCAGTTTGTGGTTAGTCCATTCTAACTTGGACCTTCTTTGTCGAGTATTCGTTAAACTCTCAGTGTAATTGGCTCTGTGTATTTAGAACATAGGGAATGTAATTGCCTTACATCTTGTTCATGATTGCCCAATCTTATAGGAAAATGTTAATTGCGTGTTGTTAAATCACTACGTAGTAAATTGATTTTTTAACTACTAAATTGACTAACAAGCATAAAATCTGCTTTCTATTTACAGCGATCGTACGATATTAAACAATAGCTGCTTAGACTTGGTAATTATAAACAATAAACCAAAACGACAAATATTAAGAAGCTATAAAAACAAATTGCAAGTTTCTGTAACGGAAAGTAGTTTATTCGTACTCCTTGAAATAAGTTGAAAAAATTGTGTAAAGCAACTTTTCTGATTAATAATTTCCTCCTTTTATGATGTGGAGATTTTGATTCGAGCACAGCTGTGACTTGACTTTTTTTCTGCAGTGGCACGCACGAGGAAACGAAGAGAATTTGGGTTGGTTACTTTTTCCTTACATAATTGGAATAAGCAGCCAGTGCGGACTTTATTAAACAAATAGCGACAAATAGAACTCGATATACGTTTCAATTATTAACTCTCTCAATGATATACTCTAAAAAGTAACAGGAAGCCTAATGAAACACAATGGAACAGGTCTCGCCGTCCGATGGCAAGCGGCTCGGCGCAGACTAGGTTTTGCAATAAATGGTAATTGATTGCATCAAGATACTGGGATGTCTGTGAACGTCGTTTGTGACGTCACGTCCTGTTCACTATTTGCCACAACACAAATTGACCTAAGTTTAGAATGCACAGCAAATTACATGTAGGTAAGTTTTGCGTGTGCAATCTTTATCTCGCTGTCCGCAATTGTACATAGGTTAGAAAACAATTAAATTTATTACTTAGATTTGCTCTGTTTAAAAGTACATAATAAATATTTTCACCTTTTTTTACTACTTCTAACAAATATGCATCTACATAAGTAGATACATATTTGTAAAACAATAGAAAAAAAATTGTAAAAGTTGTGTTATGGACTTTCGCAAATGCTTAAATAAATTCAACACATTACTAAAAAACGTAATGAAAACGAAATCAAAATAGCTGATCGAGAAGCTCATGGAGCGTGAATAATGATAACAAACGTTGTCAAAATATGTTTTTTCTCCGGGATCGATTTTTTTCGGGTCAATCATTAAAAGGATCATTAGTACTATCGCCTGTCTTATTTTTCGAGAGCGGTTTCCTTACAGCCCGTATGTAAATGTTACTGTTTTTAATTTTTATTCCATTTAATATTAAAATTCAATAATTTAAATATTAAAATTTCTTATCCATTTAATGACCATCTTTTGACCTCTTCATCGCAAGTCAAATAAGACAGATGACGACGCTGTTACTTGAAAAATAATAAGTATGCGTTTAGGAATGAAAGGTAATTTTTTTATCGGATATAGGTGCTCTTTTACCTTGTATTTAAACTTACAGCTAGTCTAAGTGCATAAAATTTAAAAACAATACGAGTATAAAAACAAACATGGTTCTACCAGCCGATTCAAATTTATAAACAAAATTATGTATCTTCACAAAGTTCCACGTAACATGTGAACCTTCGACTAAAAGATTAAAATCGTATGCTAAATGGCTGCTATTAATGTATTCTACGAAGCGCATTTGTTTAAGTGCATGAAGTGGTTAAATACCAAAGAATTAAATCATTATAATTATACGCTCGATGTCATCCTCTCTAAAATATAAGTGTCAATGTCTATATGTTCGTATTTTACGAAATTTGATACAGCGAAGAATTTTTAGAAGGACAGAGAATTATTTCACTACATTATTTTTTAAGGTTATTCCAACTTTCACCCAGAAAAAAATTGTTTGTGGATACAAAAATTATTTTAGCAGGGGTGAGGACAAGACTCAAATAAAAGTTAGTTAACTGATAACTTACTCATAACACTTTTACAGATAAAACTAAAACCTATTATTAAAAAGAAGAAGCGGTTATATTTATAAAATCATTCAACAAATTCACGGTCTCATCTACAAAGATGAATAAAATAGAAGCTTTCCTCGACTTATGAATTATTATAATGCAATGAGATTCATGTATTCAGAGCCTTGAATCAATGTTTTAGTAAACGCCAATCAAAGTAGCGTAACATTTCCAAAAAAATGTGAAAGCACGCCATTTGAATATCTCTCAGAACGGATGTTGCATTACAATATCAAACGATTTTTATAATATCTATGAGATAAATTATTAACAATAGAGGCTGTTCAAAGGCGGTAGGTAGTGAACAGTGGAGAACGGTGATTACAAAGCGTCGCTAGGTAGTCTCGGGTGCAGGGCGCTCGTCTCGAGGGCCAATACTTAATCGGTCCTCAGCACCGGGCTTACCTACCTCGCCTCCGTGCTACATCAGCTAACTAACATTATGTTAACGTAATATTAATAAAATTGCTTGCTATTTCAATGATACGCACGCAATTTATCACTTAGTAAGTGAAATTAAATATATATTACAAAAAATAAAATTGCACAAATAACTTGAAAGAGTCCTTTGGTAAATGATTTTTTTACACTAAAGATCCAATAACTTAACAACAAATATGCTATAAAAAAACCTTTTTCATTTTCTCTTTAAACTTGCTTCGGCAATTTTGCTTTTTTGATGTCTTAAATCAAAATTACTTACTTGAGCCACAAAGGAAGTGACGAGAGAAGTTAGTATAGCTTTTAAATTATAGTCCTAGCAATAAGTAAAGAGTTTAGTATTAGTATTAGTACTTTAGGTACATGTATTAGGACCTCAAACCTTAAAATCCAGCTCCTTGACAGTTCATATGATAAAAGTAGCAGAAAGTATTGTATGCGAAACTATGAAATTCCACCGTATAACGGTAGCACGTTGTACTGAGCTGTGTTTGTGTCACATTATCTAAATTGCATTGAGTAAACAGATCGTCTAGCAAGCTTGAGTCAATATATATATATATCAGTTTAACAGTCTCTCTCGAGATCAAGCTATACCACTTCTCTTTATCTATACATATACATACAAACCGCTTGTCCTAACCAACTTTCTGACTGCTAATGAGTTAATATATGCTAGAAATGTTATATTAAAACTATCAATTCTTTTTGTAAAATTTCATTCAAAGTAACCATGATCATTTTTATTCGAATTACGAGTTACAATGTTGTCGATAAATGCATTTAGTTGATCATTCATAAAACAAGTATAATGTTAAGAAATTGTGCTCAACGTTTTTTTAAGGGAAAATCATCTGTGAAGTGTAATTATACCTATACCTATTCATATCAGTTACAGTTTGAAATAGAAAAGAGGCAAAAAGTAAAAGCTAGGGTGTCAGAATGTTATTAAGTGATTAGGTACACTATCGACGTGAACTTACTCCTAACTTGTGTGCATTAAGCTCAATTGGAGAGTTTAGCAACACCACTAGCAGCGAGTCTAAATAAAATATTTTATAAAGAAACACTATACAAGCTCAGAGCTTCACTACGACTATCTTCATAAGAACAGCCGCAGTTTGTAAACCAGGTGATAAAATTTAGTAGATACACAAGTCTTTTGTATTCTATTCACTGATTTATCGGCCACGTACTTAACAGGTTGCATGCTTGCAAAGCTTATCTGTAACAGCCCGAGTCGGCTCTGCTGCAAACATTTATCTAGAAAATTTATCTAGACATAGCTTTACTGAGCGAATACCTTCGTAGTTAGCACGCCGTTCCAAATACTTACTCATCTTAGGAATGTTTAATAATATTGGAAACTTTCATTCATGTTGTAACTTGGACCAATTATGTTATATTTATTTGTTCAGGAATACGGTTTTCCTTAAAATTCGTTTACGGCAGTAGGTACGTAAGCCTCTTTAAATTTGACTAGTTATTTTTGTGATACCCATTCATACGACTTCGGTTCATAATAGCTGTATTCAATGTGAAAATTTCTGCCATGTTTTCTCTATACAGTATTTACATTGTTTTAAGTAAACGCTAGTAGAATCTGCTGAATCTCAAGATTTTCATATAAAACTACTGCACTAGAGAAAATTACCCGATTACGATGCTTTACGAATATACTAAATAAAGGTTACTAAGTACATTCATAGTAAGAACAACTGTAGATCTTATAAATAATGTTTATATGAATGGGTCAAACCCATAACATTTGTCGTTTTGTGAGGTGAGGCGAGAATTTATTTTAATTATATTATTTAAGTTAATTTACAAGATTGAAACTCTAATCTTAAAACATTTGTACATTTCTATTATATAAACTGGTGACATTCCTTAACGATAGACTTATAACATTAGCTATTTTTTTGCTTCACTAAGAAGTCAGGTATAGGTTATTTAGGTAGTGTATAGTAGTACTTATTATTAAAATAGTACTTCATGAAAAAATCCAGATAGGTTTGTAAATCTGGTTGGATTCGTTAGGTGAACGAGGTGAATATGTTTTACATTAACTTTTTTAGAGCTTTAATATTGTTCGGCATAACTTTAAACACTAGTTATAAAGTGCTAAAGCAAGTAACTCCTTAAACGAGCTTCAAGCTGAATAGGTAAGAAAATGAAAGGCGCGTTGGTGGACGCTGGCGCGGTTGGCAACTAGACGCTCTCATGACAAATATCCCCGATGCAATGAGTTGGCCAGTCTGCGGCTGTGCAATTCTACACATGCAGCGCGTCCATTGTGTGCGAACAAAGCGCCGCATGACACTGTGAGGAGGATTCAACAAAACCAAGAACTTCGAGCAGGAACTTAAAAAACTTGAATGGAAATATTTCGTCCGCATTTTCTTGGTAAATAAAATACTGTAACTATGGTTTGCCGAACGCTTTACATATTCTCATAAAATATGTTATTGAGAGAGGTAGTGTAGGTGTAGGGTACATTGTAATTTTTTTTTCAATAAATCATAAAGTAGTTAAGAATAAGTAAGTGATTGCTATATCATTTTCGGAAATCATACTTAGTTAAAATCATCAAGTATGTATGTATATAGTGGTATGAACGGTACATACCATACATGGCAAATTTTTTATTCTCTTTAAAAGAATCTAAGAAATTACAAAATCAATGAAGCGATATTTTCTTGTGTTTACGATTTTCTTATTTTTCTTAATATAGTGTTATGTTACAATTTCTGAAATGAGTTTGGTCAATGACTGTACGTGGATGGCGTAGTGGTTCAAGCGAGTTCGATTCCCACTTGGAACAACAATTTTTGTGATCCAGAAATTCTTGTTCTGAGTCTGGGTGTTCTTTGTGCCCATTTCATGAATATTTGTAAAGTCTTCCGCGACCCAGCATATAGTACTAGTGCGGAAGTTGTCTTTAAAAAAAAAATGTGGTTTAGTTTGTTGACATCACGCTTTGGTATTGAATAAATTGTATAAAAAGTCGTCATTAAATAGGGACAGTTTTTTTTAAAAGTGGTTTATCCGCCGCAAGCGCCCTCTAAGCCATCCCAACCCGGAATGGAAACCAAACACGAGTCTTGACTTCTAACCGTAAATAAGCCTCACTTACATACTTCTGTAAAAAGGCAGCTATTTAAAAAAATATTAACAACGACTATACAAACTCTTCCACTACATATTAGATTTAGTTTAGAAATAGTGGCACGAAATGAGTTATCTTGCTAGGTATAACGGCGAGAAAGTATGTTTACACGTTCACAGTGAATGCATCACAAATGGGCCACGAGTCTATCTAATTTCAATGCTTTTTTGGAGTTTGCACGTGTCCACTGCACCATTTTTTTTTTACATACACGTATGATCAATGTACCATACAGTAAAATGCCCAAAAAAACCGACCGAATTTTCGTCAAACTTGCTAGGCAATCGAGGTTGAAAATGAAAACAAACTTTTAATAGGAAATAGTTTAAATAAATTATAAAAAGGAAAGATAAAAACCGCGTCATTTTCAGATTTATACCTACACTGTTAACGTGTTAATCGTAATGTCTATCAACTAGAATGTTTATTGATTAATAGATATTATTGTAGACAAAATAAAATGGGACAGTCTATATCTAAAATATCATGATATTGCAGACACTGTCTCATTATAGTTTTTTCATTGTCAGGAGAGACGATATACACCCAAAGTACGCTAAGCTGCCACCTCCTCAGCATCGTAAGATCGGTTTTCAACCAAATCTTTACTTGACACACTGAAATCTCTTCAGGAAATACATACTTCCATACTTATATTAAATTAGGTATTTACCTATGAATTTGGAAATTTGTTTGATTATCCCTTTGCTGTATAAGCCTGCTGGACGAAATCTTGGTTCGGTGAGTACGGTGGGTGACAGAGAGCTTCTAGATGTATCTCTTATAGCTTTGTCTGTCTGTCGTGAAGTGTGTCGTGTCGTAGTTATTGAATTGCGAGCTTCTCCCTTATTGTTTGTAATTCTTAACAATAGACATCTGCCGTCACTGTTGTGCCATTCATCGCCTGATGATTGCTTAGTTCGTATGGTACTCACTTACGAGTATCTAGCTTTTTATCTTTCCGATTTGGCACAAGTGTTTCAATGTTGTTTTGACACTAACTCCAAAGCCTGTAGCAAGCTCAGGCATAGATTGAGTTGGATCCGCTTCCACTATCGCCTTTGCAAAATTGCCAGATCTGCAACGATTGAATCAATAATGGGCCGTGTTAATGCAAGTTAGTGCTAGGCCAGTACACGTCCTCAATGTTTCGTGTTATTTGTGCAGCGAGTTTCCAGTTAGGAACTCATATTCGAAAATTGTACGAATTTGCAGTTTTTCCATGGCGCTAAAAACTTCACCACAAATTCACAAAAATAAAACACTATCTAAAACAAATGAATTAATTATAAATTAAAATAACATGGCTTTCGAATAAAAGTTATTTTAATTTCGAATTGGTCGCCAATCCACAGATAATCAAATCAGAAAATGCTGGTTTTAAAAATCTCCAACTTCATAGGTAAAAATCTATTATAAAAATGTTAGTTTGTTTGTTTGTTTTCACGCCTAAACCACTGAACCGAAAGCTACACTATTAGCGAGTAGCAAAGGCTACTTTTCACCGAGATAACCAGAGCCGTGGGCAAAAGCTAGTCATTTATAAATATTAATTTAAACTTATTGTACCGATTAACAAGTTTTACATTTAAGCAACTCTGTCTGTACGTCTGTCTGAGCGTATGTATATTGTCCATTTATTATGTTATCACGCTAAATCACTGAAATTATTTCTAAGTAGAGAAAGACTGATTGGTTCTTTCAGAAGGTGTAGACTTTTAGTGTGTGGCTAGAAGAGGATGTGTGAGTGAGGAAATATAAATAAAAGCGAATTATAAAATTAAATAATATGATTCTATTCTTAGATTACTTAAACGTAACCATGCTTGTGAAAAGTACTCGAAGTTTTGTAATTATAAATTGTAAGACTTCACTAAAGAAGCTTAACTGACTGGAATCAACAACTGTGTCGATAACCTTTGAAAACTAAATTAAATAATAGGGTTCTCCCTTACATAAAATTCCCTTACATAGTTTTATATTAAATTTTTATGTTTTTGTCATTTCACCTACGTCAATTAATGACCTTTAGAAATTAATGTGTTTGTATTGTTTTTTATAAAGTGTTCAAAAAATAACTTTTTTTTGTGTTAGGCATACTTTTTAAAAGGGTTTTTTTTAAATTCCATCACAATTAAGAAACTGTATCCGATATGTGTTATTAAGATATTAGAAAAAGACAACAAACTAAGTCATGGGCTTCCAATCGTAGCAGCATTAGTACGTAACGCTAGTTTATTTCACATCTACTCGATCGTCTCGGTGACCGGCGTTGCGACTGGCCCGCACTGAAATCGTAACCAATCGCAACACTAAACTCCGTCGCCGTCAAGAGCGAGTCGATGTGGCATAAACTTGCACTCGGCCCTCAGATCATTTTACACGTGGGAACAAAACGTGGTCTCAAGATCTCATTTAAACATTTTCATTGATGAATTCAAGCGGTGACACTTTGCTTGCTATATCTATATAAGTGAGCAAGGTCACTCAACTTTTTGACCAATTTCATTCAATTGTGCTAAAAATGTTTTCGTTCATAAAAAAATAAAAATAAAAATAAAAATTCTTTATTTAAAACTAAAAACACAGATTACAATATTTCAAATGTGTTTGATAATGACTGCATTAGTGAAACACTGTGGCGCAGTCACTAACGCCCACCTTTGGATCTGATGCAAACGTTCCATTTTATTCTACCACATTACAACTCTAAAAACTAAGCATGTGGAGTAAAACGTTGAGGATTTGAAAGTGTATGTGTGTTGTGTGTGAGTGTGTGTGCACGTGTGTGTGTGTGTCTGTGCGAGCGTGTGTGTGTGTCTGTGCGAGCGTGTGTGTGTGTGTGAGAGAGAGAGCGTATGTATGTGTATCTGTGTGAGCGTGCCTGCGTGTGGGAGTGCATGTGAGTGTGCGTGTTGCGTTATATAATAGATGCGACTAAGTCTTCGGTGTCTTCGTAAGTTAGACCAAGCAGCCATTCAGTAACTCGCGATTTACATTCTCGCATAATAGTGGGATAAATGTTCAAAATTTTATTTACTTTGTTATACAATGAGGGGGCAAAGAAGTAGAAGTGTCGCTTAGCAAGTTGCGATTTACACAATTGTATTATGCAAACTTTGTCTATTCTTCGTTTTTCTATATTAGGAATATAAGGGAGATCTGCGTGTTTACGAAGTAAAACCGTTAATAAGAAGAGCTTTCTTACTGTTAAAATTTTTAACTCATGGTATAGCTGAGATGTAGCGTACCATATGGGCTTAAATGACATGATTTTTAATACACCCCGGTGAGCTCTTTCGAGAGTAAGGAGTTTGACTTTACCTGCACAGCCCCAGGCCGCGATACAATATCCTGCCACTGACTGTACCAACGCCAAAAATATAATTTTAAGTGTAGGGAAATCAAGAACCGAACGCAGCCTCTTGAAAAGATACATGAGTTTTCTAATTCTGCAGGTAGTTACTTTTACATGTTCCTTCCAAGAAAGATGATTGTCAATCCAGACTCCAAGATATTTGACTCTGGATTCACAAGCGATTTGCAAACAGTTACAGATGGTTTCTTTATCACAAGATGGTATATGGGAATAAAGGACAAAAGAGGGAGGAGGAAGAGAGACTGAGTTGGGTGAGAAAGTGAGACACTTGGTTTTGTCTACGTTTAGTGTAAGAAAATTTCGAGAAAGCCAGTGAGTTACTGTAGACAGTGCTGCCTCAGCATGAGATTGAGTATCATTCCAATCTGCCCCATTTACAAGTAGAACAGTGTCGTCAGCGTACGTTATTATTTTGCAATTTCTTATAGCCAATTTGCAAAGGTCGTTTATGTATATTAAAAACAGGGTAGGTCCAAGGACACTACCCTGGGGCACCCCAAAGAGCAAGGGTTCACGTTCGCTTATGACACTACCCATCCTAACATACTGAAAGCGATCCTCAAAATAGCTTTTGAAGAGATTGTGGACAACGCCTCTAACGCCAATACACTCCAGCTTCCCGAGTAGGGTGGAAATAGGAACAGTGTCAAAAGCTTTTGAAAGGTCTAGAAATATAGCAGTCGATTTAAGGTTTTTATTTAGTAATGGTAATAGAATCAGTCAAAGTTAAGACGGCATCTTCAGTGGATTTACCAGCCCTGAAGCCAAATTGATTATCAGCAAGAACGTTATTGCTATTTAAGTAGTTTATTAGTCTAACATTGATTATTTTTTCTAATATTTTAGAGAAAGTTGTAAGAATTGAAATAGGTCTATAGTTCTGAACACTGCCCCTATCACCACCCTTGTATATCGGTAAAACAAGACCAATCTTAAATGCATCAGGGAAAACACCCCCTAGAAGACATAAGTTAAAAACATGTACCAGTACAGGTACTAGAATAGGTCTAGCCAGTTTTATGATCGACGCTGGTATGTTATCCCACCCAGTAGCCAATGTGTTTTTAAGGCCAGCAATAATATTATCAACCTCAGCACAGTCAGTAGCAAGAACAGACATCGAGGTCAGAGGAGGAACCGGCACATCAAATTTAGGGTAAATAGTACCACAATTTGATGTTATTTTTGTAGCTAAAGTTTTTCCTACGTTAGCAAAATAATTGTTGATGTTATTGACAACAAGGATCGGATCATCAGAATTTAACAGATCATCACCAGATATGCGTTGTTTATCCATGTTTCCATATTTCTTAATAAGTTCCCACGTAGCCTTCGAATTCTTACTAACACGTTGAAATTCACCACGTTCGTATTCTTTTTTAACCTTTTTCAATAAATTATTGCAGAAGTTTTTGTAGCGGTTGTAAGTCACAGATGCCATGGTATTATCTGGGTCTTTTTTTAATTTAAGGTAGAGTTTGTCACGGTTTTTCATACAACGTAGAAGACCGGGAGTTATCCAAGGTTTAATTATTTTTTTCCGGCTAGGAATTACCAACGTACGTGTATAGTTTTTGACAATAAGCGAGATTGTGTTTACAAGTAATGACGCCGCTTCATTTGCATTTTGACAGGACAGTATAGGACCAAAATTGGTTACTTCCAATTCACTTATACAAGCATTAATGTCTAGTCGCTTGATGTTTTGTTTATTTTGCTTGGATTTAATACTAATGCTACAACTCAGGATTACAGGCAGATGGTCAGTAATACACGTGTCGAGAACTAGGGTGGTAGCTTTAGATTTCACCTTTAAAATTACGTGATCCAAACAGTTATTATTTCTAGTAGGAAGGTTGTGAGCAGGCATAAGACCATGCAACATTAGTGTATTAAGATATCGATCGTGATCACTGGCGTTACTGTTGGGTCCTATATTAATGTTTATGTCACCAATGATCGCTATGTTTTGAAAGTGCTTTAAAGAATGTAGGGTATCATTTAAAGATTTTGTAAAATTGTCCGTGTGTCTAAAAGATGGTGATCGATATATAGCAATAAGAGCAAATTGATCTTTATGTTTTATAATGAGACAATTGGAATCAGCCAAATTCGGTATTTCTACAGAGCACTTTATATTTTGTCTTATATAAATTACCACGCCGTCATTTTGAAGACGATAGTCTGATGTGTGAAAAGTATAGCCACTTAGTGTAGGGATAATAGGACATTGGCTCAAGCGGCACTCCGTTAAAACTATAATGTCCATCGGTTTCCGAATCCTGTGTAGCAGACTTTGAAATTGGTCAAAATTACGTGAAATACTTCTGATATTAAGCTGGATTATATTTAGGGTAGTTGCGCTATCACTTAAGTACAGATCACATTGTTCAGGACTACAAATACGAGATTCGGATACTTCTAGTTGTTCAATATCATTTACCACATCTAAGCTATCCATAAATAATTTGGAAATGCAGATAACCTATGAATTTTGTACGAATGGAGTATGAGTTTTTTATAGATAAATTGAGGCTGTATAGTTCTTGATACTAGAATAATCACACAAAATAAATAGTTAAGTCCGATGGTAACTTTGACCGCTTTGTGTTTATGTGTAGTAGTATGTGAATGAAGTGTAATGTGTTTGTCTTTTAAGTGCAAGTAGTAATGAGAATGTTTAGTGTAAAAAGTATACAATAAAAACGTTAACATTGGTAGGTATACAAAGTAGTGTAAAAGATAGAGGCTTATTAACATGTAAAAATTAAAAACTTCCATTTCAATTGGTAGACAATTTTCGGGGTATTGTAGTGAGTACAGATATAGTATAAAGTAGTTACATAAAATCGAAAGTAGTTCTTTAAAATTAAAGTAAAATCTAGCTAACAAAATTTGAGAAACTAGTCACTTTGGCACCTTGCTCAGCTCACTTTCATCTTTTATTATGTAATGAGGGGCGCCGTCGATTTTACGTAAGTAGATTTTCCCATGTGATGACCAGCTATATTTGAAATTATTCACCCTTGCAAAGTCTCGTACCAGGAAAAATAATCTTTTCATTTTTGCTGAGAGATTTTCCGATACATATATCGGTTTAATAGGCCCGGCCATTTTAAGTAATTCTGTGGTTAGTGCAGAAGACTTTTTAAACTGCTTGTACATATAGATAAACTTTTCCTTCATAATAACGCTCGTGAAGTCCACGATAATGGGCTTGTGTTCCGAACCTTTACTTCGAGTGCGGAAAACATCCCTTACTTCATGGGATTGAATGGTTACATTGATTAATTTACCAAGGTTAGTGATTGTATTTAATAATTGAGGCTTAGACTCTTTATTCGGTACAGGAATATTCCGAACTTCTAAACATGTAGCCCTAGTATAACACTCAGCCCTTTCCAACTTATCTTCTAAAGTCCGGATGTAGTCGTGATTAGTTTGGCGGTCTGACTCCAATTTTTCAATTTTTTCCAGTAGGGAATCATACGATTTAGAAAGGAAGTCTGCAGAATAACAAATCTCAGAGTTCTGTTGTTTGATTTCCGCGATAAAGGTATAAATTTTCTCAATTTTTTGCTCCTGTTGAGTCTTAAATTCTAGAAACATTTGTTTCATATCATTCATAAATTCGAATATAGAATTCCCACAATCATCACTAGATCTCTTGCGTTTACACCGAGTCGTTACGTTAAGCGCCTCCAAATCTATTTGTTTATCGCTTAGGTTTGGTTCGGAATCACTGCGCTGACGTTGTACTACGCGCACAGGCAAAGATTGTTGTGGTGGCGGTGTTCTATCGACGGGCATTATGCTTATAGTTTACTAAGTTATGATTTACTATTTTTAATGCAGAATACACAGTTTGTTTACAAAGTTCCAACACTGATAATTCAAATGCGTAGAAATTAAAAAGGGGAGATCTCGTTAATCTGGTCGGTCGCGAGGATTTAGTACAGAAGCGCGTTCCGTCAACTTTAATTTGAGCTCCGTATATCTATCTCTCACTGGCCGCGGTTACGGCCCGAGTATAGAAAGGAATGCAGTATATTAGGTAGTGCAAGTACTCACTCTCAGGTACCCCAAGTGCGTCAAACGATTTTCAGTTTACTTTCGCTATGCATATAATATATGATCCTTTGAGTAGATAAATATAATATTTTAATAATTTGTAAAAATTTCACGGTAAAAACTTGGCACGTCTGTTCGCCTCAGCGGTCCAAAGGGAAGGGACATGCATGACTCAACTTCCCTACAGCGTTATTGCTCCAATTTTAGGAAATTACTCTGCCATTACGAAATTTTCATTGAATTGTTTTTTTTAACTGCATTAGGTATTATTTCAAAATATTTATTTAAGCTGGCTTACGTCTTACATGCAGTATAGGTCATTTTGCATCCCTGAGGAACAGTACTTGTGATTTCAACTGATTAAAAGGTCACGTCTAAGATGCAGGGAATGGAAGAAGAGCAGCTATTGCCCATTCGTGGTGCGTAAATAGTGTTTAATAAAATGACTTTAATGCGACTGCATCATGATGAAATGGTTAACTTGATTCCTTAATTTTCGAGTCCAGTCGATTCGTACTTTATCTTCAAATTTTGGAATAATGGGGCCAAATGGCCAAATAAAAAATAATTTTCCAAATCGGTTAGTAAAAGATGGTTCTCAGTTCTACTCTGCTATGTTGGCTATGTGTTTCTAGTACCTGTTCTAATAAAAAAGTAACAAAGTAATAAATATTCTTCAATGAATATGATTGTAAGAATTAATTATAAGGTAGTTAAATAATAATGAAACCATTATTCAATTTGTTTTAGTTCGTTAAGAACCTAATTGATTAATAAAATATGATCTAACAGAAATTTACCATACACTGCTTGCGTGTTTCTTAATAAATAAACGATCATTTTGAGGAATTAACGATAAACAGTTATAATCTTAACTAATATCAAAACTTTACACTTATTTAAAGGAATTTTTAAGAAAGTTTTAAATTGGACTTTCTTTCATTAAGAATTATGCAGTTTAATAGTGAGAATTTACCAATAAGTCTTATTCTCTCCTAGTTCTAGCGAGACTCGATATTGAAGCTATGTATTTAAAGAATCCTATCCTCTATTATATACTGACTAAAATTCGTAGTAAAAGCAGTGTACATTTGGACTGGATAATGAACGAGATTGCAAAGGGGCCTGATCAGAAATCAGAAAAGTAAATCACTTGGAAAAGTGGATTTCAGTACACCATTCAAGACTAGTCTACATTTCCAAGGTTGGATCAAAATCTTCAAAAATGGAAAAACAGCTTCTTGGTAGTAGTAATACTTTCCAATATGATACCTGTAAATTAAATAGTTCTGTTACTAATTCAACTGTCCAGATTGTAATACTTTTTTAAAATGGTGAGATCATATTTCATCAATTATCATTTCCTCTTATTACTACTTTAGGCTAAGTTGTTGGTTGAGATCAACCAGCAACTCATAGGCAAAAGAAACGTGAAAGGTTTTGTGAGGATAGATTGTCTAATGAGTCACAGTCGACATGAGACTGCACTTGGCGTGTGCGCGCCCTCGCCCTGTCGTGATGGATGACAAATCGCCTTTAGATCTCACGATGTTTACTTTAGCCCTCCCGAATGACTTACGATTTAAATGCTTTTCTCAATCGATTCCAATGAAATGGATTCCAGTTCCTTTTAAATGATGCTCGCCCTAGACCGAGAATTTTATTTTTGATTTTTGGTGGTTTGGTAGTCAAAACTTTTGGTAGTAAGTGAGTAGGTTTTCAAAATAATAATAACGTGTAGTCATTATTACCCCTATAGCAGTAAATAACATTGCAATAATATATAATTAATTAATTTCGTGTGGTGATAGATTAAGAAAACTGAGTGTCACCACCCTTATTCATCCTGTGGTTGTCGTAAGAGGGGAAAAATACTACAAAAAAAAAATACCAATCGAATTGAGAACCTCCCCCTTTTTGAAGTCGGTTAAAAAGGAGGAAAACTTGACATAAACCCTATACTAACCCATCTGGACAGCGTGGCATAATAGGCCGAAACATCCTTTCTAAGGAGAGGCATATGTTCAGCAGTGGAGTGTTACAGGCTGTTGATGTTGATTTAATAATAATAATATATTTTATTTCACAAATCTCACACAAGGCCGTCCGATCCCAAACTAGGCAGAGCCTGTACTATGGTAACCAGACTGCTGATAAACATACTAATATATTTCTAAATACATACATATTTTAGATAAATTACACCCAAGCACAGAATAAATCATGGTGCTCATCATACAATTATTTGACCTGGTAGGAAATCGAACCCAATTCTGATTATAACTAAACAATATCATACGCACAGTAATCATTTACTTTCTATCTTAATCTTGTTTGAATTTCTCGCTATACAATTTATATTACTTTGCCAAGATATTAAAATTTGCGACCCCAGAAATAATACCATAACGGTACCCTTTAAAACTCTTGTATACACCCAGAGGTATTCAAGAGTACTCGAGACCACCTCCAGAGACAAGAGAATGGCAGAAGATGTATTCAAATTGTTTAATCGCATCAGTTGACAAATGTTTAATAATAACTCACTTTTCTAACCAACTAGCTGTACAAAGCCATGCTTCGCTGTGGCACATTGTGGATGCAAAACATAGACAAAAACCATCTTTGATTCGTATTGTATATCCTGTCAAAGTTTGAGCTCAATCGGTGTAGAACTTTTTGAATATTTGAACCGTACACAAACGAAGATAACATTTATAAATATAAGATATATAAAGATTACAAAACAGGCTGAAATTAAATGGGTATACTTAATTTTGTTATACAGTGTAATCAGCTGATAACATGGAAGGGCTTTGAGGGATTGACCGACATTCTGTTAGCTGCTATACTGAATAATATTACTTTTTCATTCTTGGAAATTCATTTTTGAAAACAGAGAAAAAGTATTGAACTACATTTGGCAATGGATATAAATAACATCTTTGTAGTAGTTTCTTGGAAGTAACGACGTAATTGTGTTGAAAAAGTTAATATTGCATCGACGCCAAGAAAAGTGCATAAGGCCGAAAGTCGGTGTTATGAAATAAATATTTTTGGTTCTAGTCATTTTTTGTTTTATTCCAACATTTTTAATAAATCCCTAATGGTCACTAGTTTCTTAAACGACATCATAGGAATATTTGAAAAACCTATTAGTGTGTATGGCAACTAGTAAGGCATTATCTCCAATTTATAACGTATCAACGTGCTACGAGTTTTTTGTTTCTAAGAATAATAAGTACCTAACCTCCATTAAAATTGTTGCGATCCAGGTACCTTGCGACCACAAAATTATTATTAAAGCAATTTAATATATCAAAAGGATGTCATGTGAATACATTGCAATGCAATTAAAGACAAGGATGTTACCTGCTGATATTTCTTAGAATTTTAACGTATTGAACTAACTATTAAATAGCGCTGGACTAACTAAATAGAATGAACATATCATAATATTGTGTATGTGAGAATCCAAAAGCGAACGGTTGCAAGACGTAAGTGAAAGCGTTTAATTACCTAGCTACTATATCATCATCACTTCATCAGCCTTTAATAGTCCACTGCTGAACATAGGCCTCTCCTTAGAAAGGAGGTTTTGGCCCCGCTGGCCGGACGGGTTGGTATAGGATTTGTGTCAAGTTTTCCTTCTCTTTGCAGTGCTGTTGTTCTGCGTAGTTTTTTCCCTTAGTCGGCTCTTACGACACCCACGGGATGAATAGGGGTTGTGACCCTCTGTATTCTTAATCCGTCACCACACGGACCTAGTACTACCTACTACTAACATTGATTGGTTTTTAAATTTAAGCATTCCTGTAGCTAAAGACGGCGTACGCTTTTTAGCCGGTTCGAGTCCGACATAACCACCCCACTGGTGGGTGGTATCCGAGGGGAGTTCCACGAAGAAAAAAAGAAAAAGGTGTGAAAAATAGAAGCTGTAATTTTACTCTTTATGTAACAATACATGACAGATTGTGGGTGTATTCATAAAACGAATAAATTATAGACTGCAGATTCACATTTTGTCAGCTTGTAAATATAAAGTGTCTTTTTGTAGATACTTACTAAGTATATTTCAGTTGACCCAGTAGTAGTCTTGAGATTGCTCGCGTTTTATTATTGTTGCTTAGATCATGAGCTAGTAGGAAACAATTTTAAAACAAAGAATTCGTTCATAAATAAATCCATGAGAAATCAGTACGAAGTAGGTATGTTGGTATCTGTAATGAGTGTAGTGTGCGTAAGGCTTATACATATATGTAGTATGGAAGATTGAAAAGCAAAAGCAAAAACGTTGTATTAATATTTGATAAACGTTGCTAACAGCTCCATCGACTGGTGTAAGCCTGCTGCCATATTATAGTTAAGCATAAGTAAAATTAGTTTTTAATAACGACTCCTGTTACCTTTCGCAAAAATTATACTTTTCGCTCTTAAAGCTGCATATATTTTTAACTTGCTTGGGCTTTTGGCATTGTGGCTCTCAAATCATCGTACTTTGTTTCAATGTATAAGTGCATCTGTATTTTATTAGTAATTATATTAAAATCTCTTAAGTTATCCCCTTAGTTCAACTTAAATTTTCCGTATCTACTCTTTATTTATTTATTAATAGTATACGTAGACACTTATTATAAAACATTTGATTAGTTAATTTATAAAATATCACATTGTTATTAAGTTAAGAAATAAAAAAAATGTTACTATATTTCGCTGTGATGTTGCAGCTTACACCAAAA